CCAGCAAGCGGGCCTGACCTAGGGAGGATTTTAGGTAGGGATAATTTTAAAAGTATTTTAATTGGAAACACAGCTGGTAATATTTGGTTTTAATTCGGCTTTTATCGGGGTTTATTTTTTGTATTTCTGTATTTTTGTATTTTGCATTTTTTGTATTGTGTGTATATTATTTGTTTTTAATATGCTGTGAACCGCCCTGGGTCCTATGGGAGAAGGGCGGTATATAAATTAAATTATCTATCTATCTATCTATCTATATTTATGTCAAGCTGTGGGATGTCCTTAGGAAAATGAGACTCTCAGAACATCCAATCTTCAAAAATCTAGACAAATCTGAAAAATCTATATACAGGTCAGGTAACCACAATCCAGACAGAACATGATGAAATAGGATAAGTCCAAATTGGCAAAGAAGGGAGACGTGGTTTATTTATTCAGTTTATGTGTTGAAAATATACTGAGAAGAAACTGAATTGGAAGAAGATAAGTGTTGTTTTAAAATTGGAGGAAGAAACATCAATACAGTTAATGTATTAGTATGATAGTTGAAAATGCAGATGATCCAGAAGCTTTAGTAATGCAAGTCAAGGAGCACATTGAAAAAAATGGATTATAATTAAATATGAAGAAAACCAAAGTGATGACAATAGCAATGGCAACCAATTGTAGAACTGTTGAATGAAGACACTGAAATACTGGATAATTTCCGTCTTTTAGGATTGATTATCAATAAAAAAGTAAAAAGGAAGCAGCAATCACGAAGTATCCCGTAAATTAGCATTTGGTAGGATAATGTTGCAGCCTTTTGAAAATATATTCAGATGTTGTGACATGTCTCCACCTAAAAAGATCAAAATCATGGAGGTAATATTGTATGGAAGTTGAACTTTGAAGAACCAGGGTAGAAAAAGTGTTGATGCTTTTGATTTGATGTGGGAGAAGACTCCCATTGAATACCTAAGAAATCAAACAAATGAATCATAGAACAAATCAATTCAGAGGTACAAATGACCAGGGTCAAATTATCATATTTTGCGCATATCTTGTAAAGATTCAGATCCCCTGAGAAGTTCTAATGCTGAAAAAATGGAATGAAAAAAAAAGAGGATAACTAGCAGCAAAGTGGATAGATTTAAATACAGTGGTGATGGGTGTACCATTGGAAGATTTGACAGGCCAGATTAGGCACAGATTATCCTGAGAAGGCCTATGTGATTGTTAAGAGTTGACACTGACTTGATGGCAATAAAAAATAAGCATGTAACTTGGTTTTGGTAACAGCCTTGCAATTTGGCATTACCTTGAACTTTTACCACAGATAGAATAGAATAATATCTTTATTGTCACTTTGAATGTACACTAATCAGCATACATTAAAATGAAATTTCATTGCATATAGCTCTCAAAGGGTCACGACTTCCAATATATACTACATAAATATGACAAAATAAATAAATACAGAATTATGCATATACCCACATATATGACTCAGAGAAACAACACCGTCTAGTTCGGATTATGTATAAATATGCATGGCAAGAAAAACGAATCTTGAGAATTTACCAGACGGATGGCATAGGACAGGGGTGCCAAAACCGTGCCCACCCCATTGCCGACAATGGGAAAAAAGGCGCGATACGTCGTGACACATCACATGATGTCACAAGTTTGACACCCGTGGCATAGGGAATAAAACTATTACAGAATCGGATAGTCCACTTTTGAATATCCTTCCTCATTGTATTTTCTAATTATTAGAATACTAATTTTTTATTTAGTTTTTGAAAGATTTTATTTAATTTTGAAAAGTTTCTAAAGTAGTTATAATACTTAAATTAGAGTGGGTAACTCCATGTGAATTTTCATTGTATTTTAATGAATTTCTGCACAAATCTCCATAATGCCTGTCTCCTCCTAATTTATTGTTGAGCTGCTATCTACTGCCAACATTTTTAAAGGTGCACAGCAGACCCATTCTCTCAGAGAGTCCAGAATTGGCTTTTGTATTGAATAGGCATTTGGTCATTGGGCACTGCAGGAACAGAGGCTTTCAGAAAACCAGTAGCAGTTCCAGTATTAATAAAGGAGATTAATGTATCTGTTCTGAACTATAAGAATAAATGATTTTGTAGCTGTTGTTAAGGCATTACATCAGTTTTATTAACATGCTTTATCCTCCCATATGCATCAGACTGTATCTAAATGATACAACACTGGTGTGGTGAAATAACTATACTCAAGTTATGACAAGAATATTCATGAAAATTTCAATTTGAGGAATGTTTATAGCCCCGCTTCTTTGCTCTCCAAGGACTTGACACATCACAGCATAGCAAACCTGTATACAATGCTTTATTGCAACACATACCTTCCCCAACAATAAGCTCTGGGTCAACAACAGTTTCTGGGTCAACTCCATGCTTCTAGGACTTGCAAGGTGATGTAGGTAAAAGGTAAAGGTTTCTGTCTAATTACCATATAGGTGATAATGAAAATGCTGATTTAAGTGGAATGTAGATTACAATATTACAGTTATTAAGAAATATTTACATTAATCAGCTTTGTTCTAAACAGTTATTAAACATAAGGTTATCTGTGTCAAAGGCATATTTACTAAAGGACCATGCATATTAAAGAATTGCAAGAATATTCTTGCAAATAGAAGTGAGAGAAAGGAAGTTCTAGTTCATGAAATCTTAATACCAGAACCTAACCTTGTATATTCCTGTGTAGAAATTGGATCTGAAAATCGATTTTAGAGCTAAGCTAGTGACACTAGAAATTGCAAGCACTTTAAAGTTACTCATTGGCCTGATGTCAGTTCTTTTGCCTGGAAAGAGTACACAAACATACATTTAGCACTTAGTGTTTATAGCTTGAGTTAAGTGCTTGGCTTATTAGCCATTCACTTTTTGATAGAATAAGAATACCAAATAATGCACATCCAGTGCTCATGGATTTTTTAAAAATCATATTTTAGCTACTATATTATTATTTAAATTTGATATTAGAACAACTCCATTAACATGGAGTTGCTTTAAGATGGGCAACAAACAAATGTAATAATCTAATTTACTAATAAAAACATAAACAACCATATGTTTAAAGCATTTGAATGGCAAGCATTTTTCTTTCACATTACAGTGTTGATTTACTTCGTGGTTTATTAAGAAATCAGGGCAATTTTTTTATATCCAGGATTTGATATGTAGTACTGATTAAAATTAGCCAATGTATGTAGGCAGCAATTTGGAGATTAAGAGAATTCTCCACTTGTTAGCCAAGTGAAGAAATAAACATTTTGAATATAGTACATGAGATTTGGTATTTTTAGGGATGAATTCTTAGCATGTTAACATTAATGAAATGTTACATTAGAATTATGGTATATGTGATTTAAAGTGTTGTTTTCCTGGTTTTCTTTCCTCTATATTTTTTTTTTTAGAAAGTAAATCAAAAGGTCTTCAGTGGGTGATAGATACAACTATTGCATATCCCAAAGCTGAGCCCATAGACATTCAGACATGGATTCTTGGCTACAGGCGGCCAACAATTACTCATGTACATTACAGGTATGAAATGCACTTTCTGTCTTTAATTCATTTTAAGAGACCTGGATTTGAAATTTTCCTAGTGGAACATCTCAGAGCATACACTTGTATAGAAATATAAGCAGCTTTACACTGCGTGTTTTAATTTTGGGGCATGCAGTTTTGCATTTGGAAATGCTGGAAGGTATACTTTTAATCCTGGTTGCTGTAAGTATGCAACTAATCAGTTACAGTCCCAAGTCCAAACTAGTAAGCTTGAGGAGAGAGCCCCTCCATATATAAATTTATATATGATTAGGCTTTAGCCTAGAAAACATATTTATAACATCTGTGATAAGCTCACAAACACAAAAAGAAAACCTAAGAGTTAAGTACAAAACAAGAATAAAACAAAAGGAGACCCCAACAGATTAAAACCCTGCCTGGAACAGCTCTTTCTGCAACATCCTGAATGCACTCAGGGAGAGCATCATCTTGATCTCTGCAAGGATATTGCTCCAGAAGTTTCATACTGCCCTGGAAATCAGCATTTCCTTGTTTTAGCTCCCTTTGTTTCCTCTCTCGGATATTTGGAGTTGTTTTTTCCTAGATGATCTAATAGGTTCAACCAATTCAGGTAGGAACAAGGTGATCCTGTGTGTATTCAGATGTCAGTTTTTTGCTGGTTGCTTCTGCCTTAAACAAAGACATATAAGACCACAGAGAGCACCTTTATTTTCTTAGGCTATATTTAACATTTATTGCAACAGCAACAAAGTTCATGAGAATAATTACTTGTGTAAAAAAAAGGAAAAAAATGCTATTTGTGTTTCTAGGTGTATCTCTTTTTCAGCTTTGTTTTCACTAATTCAATAATATGGGGAGAATATGGAAGAGAGTGAATTTCTTTTCCTTAAATTTCTTTTCAGTGCTGACAGTTTCTGCAACTTAACAGTACAGCAATTTAAAAATAGGCTGGTTAGCACTTGACATTAAATCATAGTTTTCTTCTTCCTGATGTCTTATAAAATACAGGATTACATGTTCCATCACTTTTCTGCCAACATTTGAGAGGGTTGGTGTGAAATCAAATGCAGGACCAAAAGCAAATAATCAAGGTTTACTGCAGTGTTTTATTAGACAGCACATGCTGGTGCGACACTCATATTTATACCTTAGAAAGGTGGGAGAGACTAATGCATATATAAAAGATAATGTACGTAATAGGTAAAAGACCTCAAGTTACTGTAAGCAAATGAGCTCAGGTTACTAAGCAAAAAAGTAATAAAACAGGGAGGAAAACATCTCCCATAACTCAAAAGGAGGGGGTATTTTGGGAATGCAAGTCACCACAAAGAAAAATATTACTCATTGTAAATATATGGGATGAGATAACAGACTTTCGCCTTATATCTCTATATAGCAACTTGATTTAATTAATTCCATTCATCTAAGAACTGATTTTTCCCACCTGGGGATAATGTGAGTTGTAATTCAACAGTTTTAGTACAAAATTGTGGAAGATTTTCTTAGTGCCACCTT